GTTTTCAACTTGAATGTATTATTGTATTCTTTTTTCCCCCTCTTCTTGTGGTTCTCTTCCCCTTTGCGTTGCTTTGCCCATCTCATCTGCCCTGTTTGCTGCCAAAGTTGCTCCTCACTATTTCACTAAATAGCCCCAAATTAAAGGACCGCTGCCATCCGCTTCAAGGTCTGTGTCTTAGAAACTTCATTTCCTTCGCTTTTAATCATTGATTCTGTGCTCACGGACTTCCCCAGCCCCGTCCCTGCCTTCCCTGTGCTCTGCTGCGGCTGTGCCATTCCCTGGCTGATGTCCCCTGTCCCTTTCTCTCCTCCGGGGGTGTCTTCTGGTTCGCCGGTCCTCTCCTTCCACAGCTGCTGCCCACCTTCATAAATCACGAGTGATACTTCAGTGGTCTATTTTGTCAGCCGTCTTCCAGCAATAATTGCCGGTAGGCAGGACTCTGGGGTTTAGTTCTTGGCATATATCCCCTCCAAAATTTTTTAAAAATCTAAAATGCTAATTTAACTTCTGAAGATTTTGTACGTGTTTCAGTATTGCCATTTCCCACCTTTGCCCGTCTGACATTCCGGGGATTTTAGGAAAGGGGGAGGCAGAAGGAGATGCGCCCGGTTTGAATTGCTCGGCTTTAAGGCACTATAAAAAAGTGAAATATTACTCTGTGCCCTCACAATTTGGGACTCTCTACCACTGAAAATCTCCCATGCTGAATGTTCTAAGAAGATTAAGATCAACCCTTTTAATATTGCTTTTAGCTGAGCTTATTTGTAACCCTTTCAGAATACGCAGCACCTTAAGAGATGGCACGACAGGGCTGTTGCTATCAGAAACATTACGTACCCTTTACACAGTATTTTCTCGAATATTAAGGCTTTCTCCCCAGCTTTAGCACTTTTATGGTAGTGATTAACTTGCATAAACCATAGGTTTTAATATATTTTTTTTAATAGAATGCATTTATTTTGCCCCTTTGAGCAAGTGCTGTCTGTTTTCCACAACTCTTCTACTTCCCAACTGCATATGTGTCTTCCTCCCAGTTTTAAATCACTGCAATTATCACCATGTGTGATAAGTTTACGTATACTTAAAAAATTAAACCTAAGGCATGGAAGACCATATGGGTCTCTTACTGAGTTCCATTCAAATTCAGGAGATATATGCATTGAATAATGTAAAGGGCCAAATTTTTTATTTTTTTATTTTTTTTTTAAACGTGTTTTCCATCACTGGTCAGGGATATGGGTATCCTGCAGCCCCAGGGAATGTCCAGTTTAGCTCCTTCCAGTTCCAGCGATGGGTAAGGCTGGAGGGCTCAGGCTGAATTCCCAAAATCCCTGAAGAGCAGAAGGGTGTTTGGAAGCCTGTTGCCGTTGATTGTACGGAGGAGCATCATCGTAATGCTACGAAGTGGCTTTTTTTTAATCATTTTAGGCTGAAAAGAGGGATGTCAAGTCATCAATTAATCCTGACAGCATCCTTCTGTGGTGAAAAAATAATACCGTCACACCCATTTTATAAACAGAATATCTAAGGCAGAGATAATGGAGGCTCAATACTGGTGCTGCTGGTACCACCGCCCTCCTGATCCCCGTTTCAAGGACAGTCTTGAAAGTTTTATTTCACATTACAAAGGGAAATCAGTAAATCAGGCTGAGCCCTGGCTCGCGTTCCCATACCCAGACCACCAAACCTCCGCCAGTTCTTAAGAAAGGCTTCAGAGGTGTCTCTTAAAATGCATTTTAGAATCAAAAATAACAAATTCCAAGTGAAAAAATGGAGCGTGCAGTATTTAAACATGGAGATCGAATGTCTCCGATGGCAGCGCTCTCAAATCCGAGTATAGGTATGGTGCGTGTGTCTGTTTTGTGGCATTTACAGCTAGAGTTTGGTCATTCTGATGTTTTCATGTTCGTACAATGAAAATTAGAGCATCTTCATAGGATGCCCGGTTCTTATTTTTTCCTTTATCAGATGCATATCAGATCAAGTAAAAATACAAAAGCATTTCAAATACCTAAACTAAACAACAAAGCCAGACCCTAGGATCACATTAGCTTAATTTTTCCCCAAACGTAAGATCTTAAAAGAAAAGTTTGCATTTTGATATCAGGCTTTTCTGCAGTTTTGCAGTTCTTCTTAAGGAAATGGAGTATATATAATTAATACTGTTTAATAAAGCTCAAAAATGCAACAGATGCAGCCAAAAGTGCACGTCATTTTGAGCAGATCTTTACAGAACAGACATTCCATATTGTGTTCATCTTTTTCCACGATCACTGCTATGACAATCTGGTGTGTTTAGCAGTTGTTGCTGAGTAAGGCAGACTGGATTGTATATGATTTTCTCCATGTCAGCCAAGAAACAGAACTCTTCTTTTTGATGCAGTAAAGAGGTGGTCTTGTACTATTTATTGCTTTCTACCGGGAGCAGCTATACCTTTACTAACTTGCAGGAATAATAACACGTTGCAATCTATAGTTGCAGGTGCTGGGGGCTTTCTGTAGGTTTTTAAACAGTTGTGGTGTGGAGAAGTCACAGGAACTGATAAGTCGAATAAGATGACCTCCTAAATAGAAAAGCTACAACATTCACAAAACGTGTCACTAAAATCTGTGTGTTTAAAGGCTGATTATTTTAGAAGGGGTTATGGAAGGAGGATCACCTACAGCAGAAACCCCACGAGAGAGGCTCCAGTGCAAAGGAAACGTTTCCCCTTTCAGCATTCCTTCTGGGTGCCAAATTTTCCTTCTGTTCTTCCCCACCTATTAAACAAAGCTGCAACTTCCAATTCCTATCAGTTTTCCTAAATATGTGCAGCTTATGTGGCTTCGACGAGCTGTAAGGCTCCGTATTCTCCTGCCAGCTCCTTGACAATGTGGCTCCAACAGCATCCTCCACTTTTGGCTGCCTCTGGGACCCCTGGTCTCTTCTGGAAAGGGAGGGGGAAAGTGTATCCTTTGCTGGAAGGACTTTTTGTGACTGCGAAGCCGATAGCGGGGCTGTGAAGAGCTTGGAAAGATCCCTGGAAGCGTGGTGGCTCTGTCTGTCGAGGCTGCCTGCTCCCTCTACGGGGGCGGTTGGGTCCACCTGGGGATGAGCTGTGCAGAGCTCAGCATCAGATACAGGCTGGGCTCACGGGGACCACTGCTGAAGCACCCACAAAAGCCCACCTCGGGGGGAAACTGAGGGTAAGGGGAAGCATTACACTGAATTACGCTTAACTCCCAGCGTCAAAGCTCTTTTCCATGCAAACTCGCACGTTTCCGATAGGGACATTCCCTTCCAGCCAAGTCTGAATCCTCGGTTGTCGTCCCACGTTGGCTCCTTCAGTTGGGCCTTTTGGAGGGAACTAAAATACCGGCAACGTGTTCCTACACATAGTTTACCTACCAGAAACAGGTGGATGTTTTAAGCGGGAGGATGGAAGCAAACTAGTAGGCAGTTCTGGGATCTTTGCAACTGGAAGAAATTCTCCCCCCGCGAGCCAGCGCTCGTATCCACTTTGGTTACTGGAACCACCGTGGAGACTCCTGGTTCACAGATGTGAAACAAGTTACGAAGCTTATGCAGTCGCATTCCTCCTTATTATTGGGAACAAAACAAATCTGGGAGATGGAGGACTTCTTAAAGTCATTATTGTCTGGCTTTATTTTAAGAAAATGCAACTAATTCTGAAAACTCCACAGTTCCTGAAGATTTCTCAGCCTAGGAAAGTCACATTAATTATAAGATTAATTTGTTTTAATTCCCTAAACCAAAAATATTGACTGAATGAGAAATTAACACATGTAGAGCTGCAGATGTCATTTGGCTTCAGATTTCCTGAATGATATAATTATTAATCTTTCATATAGCAGTGTGGCAAACCTACAGATTCATTCTACAAAATTAATCTGTGAAGAAAGACACCAGGACGGCTGAGCTATAGATTTTCCCTTAATACAGGAAGGAAAACGGTGGAATTTTCTAAATAATAAATAAAACCAAAATATTTTAAGGACATATGGTGCACATCTGTCTGAAATACAGTAATTTAAAGGAGAGTAATTAAATGCAAGATACAATATTCACCTTAGAGTGGGGGAATTCTCTCTTTTCATTTTTAATATAGCTTCCCGAATTTGGGAAATTTAGATCATCTGTGGTATCTTTTGAACCTTTCATTCTGTGCTAGTGAAGATAGATTAGCAAATCGGCGTTTTATTTTCTTCTTAGCTAACCAGCCTTGTGTTTCAAGGCATCGAGTGCCATACCCATACAAACGTATTACCTTCAGCTGAAATGACAAATAAGTACAGATTTCTCATTTTCTTTTTTAACTTCCGATTAACTCCTTAGATGTCAGAAGGTGGACAGTGCCCCATATTAGTTTATTCCTTTCCGCTTTACCTAAAGCACTGAATGGATCAGAAGCTTTGCATTAGTACAGCATGGATTCCTAAAATTCCAGTTTGGGAAATCCTATGGTTTTTAGCAAAAGGTTTTTAATAACCTATTCCTCCTGAAAAAGAGGGTAAACTGTAATGGATACATATTTTGGATGTGTATGGTTATATGGATTTGCATGGATATAAATGGATACAAAAAAATACATATTTTTTTGACAAGGGGAAAAAAAAAAGTTTTTTTTTCTACCCTCCCCTTTTTTTAGCATGATTTTGCTTTCGGCTAGGTGAGATATTACTCAGTCCTTCTCACTTTCAAAGTTGGTAACCGGAAGAGTAAAGGCATCATTTGAAGACAGGGAAGAGAGAGAAAAATCTGATGAAACTGAGTTCTGATCCCGAGTGCCGTGTGGAGGAAAATGTTCAGCCATGTGGCGCAAGCAAAGAAGGGAGGTTATGCTGAAGACGTTTAGTCCCCAAAAGTACAATTTAAGCGAAATACTGTGTTGATAAACAAACAGAAACGATTCCAAAAGTAAATACACACGA